TTAATTATGAAAGAGGCAAAGAATAATTTACTTCTTTAACATCAAATTTTAAAATTACCAAGGAGGGACTAATAACAAAAAAGTATCAAGACACGGACATTCTCGTAATTTAAACTGTCAACAAGTTTTCTGTGAAATATGTGATTACCTCTAATGTGAAGGAGAGGACCACATCAGACTTCGACAGCTGAACCTCATTTTCATCTCCTATGTCCAAGAATGCAGAGTTCTGTGATCGCTTTAACTTCTGCAGTTTAAATTCTGGCCCACCTTTAGACACTGGAAGACTTTCCAAATTTGCCATCAGCAAATTCACCGAAGACCGCAATTCTTCTATGTACATATTTTCCATTTCTCTTGTTACAAATTTGGGGAATTTTCTTTCCTTGGAAGATGATACATTTTAAAAGTTAGGGAGGAAAAAAATCATCCCACATTATACGTCATTTACTGATTTGCTCTCGGTTAAGAGATATTTAATAAAAATAAAAGTCTTAATTCCAGGGTCTATCTATTTTTATATCTTCAAAACAGTAATGGGACAGCCAATCCTGTCCCATAAATACATTTAAGTTTGACAAGAAGAAATGTAATTTGAATTGAGAATTCCATCATATTCCTCAAATAAAGTAGACAAAATAGCTCTTTGAACACGTCAAAAAAATAAAGGGCATTTGTAAAAATGGAACTTCTTGCTCCCCCCTGAATCATTTAGCCACAAACCCAGGTTGAATATGTACACATTAGATATTTCTAAGACGTGTTTTAAGTGTATCAATTGACAATATACCTTCAATGTTACCTTCAAATATTTTATAAATTGACAAAAGGAACCATCCACTAATAATGCTGTTACTTTATCCATTTCCCATCCTACCAAAACTAAGTCAATCACATTCATGTTTCTAACATAAAGCTATTAAACAAGCTTTTTTTTATTAAAAAAGCCACGACATGAATTTCCTACTGCTGTTTATGTCTATTTTTAATAATAGGTCATTCATGTTGAAAGTAATGCTGAATTATTACACGGGATTATTTTAAACAGAAGTGTTAGAGAGAACTTAAAAATCACTTTTTTTTCCTCTATAGAGTCAGATAATAGTGTTTAAATATTGTGTTTATAATAAAGACGGAACATATAAACATATATAATGCATATACGAACACATACAGAGCCAATTTTATGCACAGTTTCTTCCCTGGTACTGAATATAGGGCAGCTTGGGAGAATATGTCACTCAAGAATAAATAAAAATGTAAATGATTCTAAAATATACGTTTTATGTATAAATGAGAAACAAACACTGCTCCCCATGTATTGTCCACAAAGGTAGGCACCTTGCTCCAAAATCAGATGATTCTATCATTAGCTGTTATAAGGAGTATCATAAAATATTTTACATTAAAACCTTTACAGTTGATTTTGTTTCAGTAATGAAGACCGAGCCAATTGACTGTGACCCTAAACACCTGCAGCAGGTCCAGTGGTCTGGCTCATTAGACCATTACAGAACCAGTATATTACAGATTGAAAAAGAAAAAAAAGAAGTCATTTATAGTTAGAAACTAAAATCACAGGGTAAGATTCAGGGTGCTCTAGCCAAAAAAACCCCACTCTAGAGTGTTTTTGAAAATGTACCTTATCCTGTGAGGATCGTTCAAATAATTACATGCCAACACAGAAGACAGAGAAGACAGACTGTTATTATGTTGTTAAAAGATCTTTCCTCTTGTTAAGATGTCTTTTCCACCCCAATGTAAAAACTGAGGAAACTTTTTACAATGCCTTTTCCTGTATATTTTTTATGACTATAATCTTCCATGATTTAAGACAGCCCTAGCAGAATATATGGAGGCCTTTATTTCTGTAAAACTTGAATGTTTATAGCCACTTCTCTCCCTCACAAAACAAGGGTGAGGATCCTCCATAAAGACTCAGGAGGTCTACAGATTTCACCCATCCCACACACACTCCAGCCCCCTTTATTTGCTTTTTTAAGGCGGTGAATTTTTGACAAATGGCTATAACACATAATATTTAAAATAGAGACACAGCAAGATAGTGGGAGTTTCCCACTATTTTTTTAGCGCATATGCACAGGAATGTAATTACATTGATTTGAAAAGCCCAGGTCGTCTGAAGAACACATTCCCCTGCACAAAACTGGAATTTTGGGAACTCTGATTGCAATGTATTGGAATACACCCTGAAACCAGGCCCCTGGGGACAGAGGTGAGACACCGATCAGGCTGATGTGCACACAAGCCTTTAGGTCTGGATTCTGAGAGTGCTAAAATGGGTTTTCAGGATGCGTTTCTCAAGGAGAAGAGACACTGAGTAGTCACTTCATAGGATCACATAAAAGTTTATCTTAGAAAAGAACAGCACCAGTTACAATAGGTAGAAAATCCCATTGGGTCTTACACACTTTGATTTCAACTACTTTGAATTTAGTCACATGAAGAAACAGATGGGAAAATAGATGCACAAATTCCCCATTAATTTTATCCTGTCATAGATGAACATATTTCTAAGGTTCTTGCCTCCTCCACTGAATGGGCTAAATTATCTTTTCTACTAAAATAAACTTCCCATTTATAATTAACAACTTGTAAAACCAGCAAGTAATGTATTACAGGAACCTGGAATGAGATGTCAACAACGACGAAAAAGCTATATACAAAGACTTCTCTTGAGCTGTGCTGATCTTTTGAGACTGCAGTTTAATAATTTTTTTACAGGCAGATAATCACTGAAAACCCTTTTCTCTACCAACAAAGATGCTAGAATACTTAATCCAATGTCATAATGCTTCTAACCTTGTTTTTGAGCTCTGAAAATAAAATTAGTATTTTGCAGCCTTTGATTGCTTAGGCTTAAATGATCTTAATAATTCTCACAGCTGCTAGAATTAGGAACAGCTCTCAAAGTTCCCTCCCCCCCCAAATTCTGCATTTGAAGTAGTTTAAGAGACATGTATGAAAACTACGATTGATTTCTGGCTTGGATGTACCATGTAGGACATGGAGTTCCTTATTCTGTGCAAAACTGCAGTTGACACTGTGGCAACCATAAGCATTTTCAAGTAATGGCTCAGGTAAAAAATAGCTAAATAAATTTTTCTTTAAAAAATCTACAGATGTGCAGCATATGGACATTAGAGACAGAATGAACAAAATTTACGCTGTTTAAGTAGTGTTCCTAATTTTCACTTGCTGTAAAATGAATTTGAAACTTTTATGGACAGCATTTTACTTTTTAGGAAGACTACACCTCCAAGCTGTTATTTATGAACTTCGTTAACCTAAATTATCATTTTTCCTTTTAAAGAAACAAGCAAATCTTTTTTCTGCAGACATACAGTATAACATACATGCTTCCAGTATTTTGTAATGTTTGGAGCTAAAGGGAAGAAGGCAAGAGAGCAAACACAGGATTATTGGACAACTTTGATTATAAACCCAGGCTTCACGGAGATTGAAGAGACTTGAGATTGCCTTTCTGTGAAAAAGGAGCCTTTCTCCAAAATTTAATCAAATATGGCCAGGGACAATACCAATCCCACCTGTGTTATTTAATATAGAAGGGCATAATCCTGTCCAGTGAAATAAAATACAAGCTGTAGGAGAGAAAAATAGGCTTAGCTTTCTAAAATTTACAAAAAGAATTTATAATTTTCCCAATCACCACTAACGTGACCTACAAGACTCACTCATAGTTTTGTTACTTGCAATAGTAATATAACCATTATCAACTTAGACAATCTATAAATGTAAAGTATATTACATATACTTAAAAAGCATCACATATAACTTGTAGTAAGACATAAACATTTTGGTTATACCCTAAGCACAGCATAATGCACTTCTATATGTAAAAGCTGACTTCTTTTAGTTCCAAAATACATAATCCCAAATGTGCAAATAATGTACCCTTTTTTTCACCACTGGACTTGCTGATGAAGGAAAGGTAGGATCACACAGTATATGACTTTCCAAAAACAAGTTTTGCTTTCTCCCTACCCCTAATGACACAGATACTCCAGAGCAGAAAGAAATGCATCTGCCAGATTGTTTTCAGATGCTCTTCTGCTTAATTTTAGTATCAGAAACTGGAAACACACACTAAGTATTGTCCCACTCAATCTCATATGAAGATATGGTTTTGGTACATGGAAGCAACTGCTTACCCTTGCCATTTGTTCTGCCAGTTGTAGTCGTCCATCTAGTTCACGTCTGATCTGGGCTGCTTGCTCATCTCCATTATCCAACTTGGATAGAGAACAAAAATAAAGTTAACAGTGAGAAATAAGGACTGTATTTTAACTTTATAGCAAGTAACGTACTTAAAAAAAAAAATAGAAATGAGTTGCATCTTTCTCGTCTTAAGTTCAGTGAAACACAAAGCAAATACACAGCTTTGAGTCTTACCAAGATGAAAGAAACATAATGGCCACCATTTACCCACGACAGCCAGGGTCTCTGAAGGGCAGCCAGCATTCCCTTGAGTTTATAATACTCAACCTAAACAGAAGCAGCATTATTTCCTTATGAAAACAGCAGCTGAGAACATTTCTCCATGGAGGAGAAAACTGGTCTGACAGACTGGCTTAGAAAATTTTTGCATGGAAATCTGCTCTTTGGTGCCATGAGTTCCTGCATAGGAATATATAAGTATCGGGAAAGAAAACGGTGTGGCTATGCTTTCTAAGTATGGTATTATTTCACTCACATAGCTCTTTTCCCCAGACATTAGCCAACTGCTCACATCAAAGCATACCCGATTTTTGAGCCTCCAGTATTTTCATACCTAGGGAATAGTCATGACTAAACATCTGACTTCAATCAGGGAGGTAAAGGGGAAGGATACATCTCTTCACCTCAGCAGAACAGCTAGGTCTCAACAGAGAAGAGACTCCCCAACTCATTTTTCACCTGTTTACTTGTTAAGGACGGTTTGGGGGAGTGTAGGTGAAGCGGGGCTTCACCTCAACGCACTGAGCTGCACGGCTGGTTAAGAGGAAGAAGCGTGATGCATCTGGAGGAGGTCAGGCGTAACTTGCCTTCTTACCTGAACAAATACCAAACTGGACAGAGTCCCAGTGGAGGGCTCTCTCTGTCCCTAAGGCTAACCCCAGACACGACGCGACATGCTGATACGACCCTTGTGCGTTTAGTACGCGGCTGAGGTTCAAGGATACCTGAATTGCTCTCCACTAAAAATAAATTAAATTGATTAAGGATGTAAACTGGCAAAAACTGGTTCTCTAATTAAATGACATCTCCAGCTAAAGAAATGCCCAATTAATTTGGTTAATGATTGATTACATTAAACTAAGCTTTTAAGGAAGACCACTATTCAGTGCATCAGGACAAATACATAATACCATCTCCTCTGCAATGCTCCTCAGCTAAATCCAGCAGATCTTATTGAACCAAGATGCTCTTGAAAATTAGGCATTTTTTTCTTTCAAAACCCAATTTAAAAAAAAAGGAATAATCAAAAATAGACTATCCGGTGCCTGCAGGTCAATTACAACATTATGTATAATGCAAACCTGACCACATTTAGCAAGAAGATGAAAAGTTTTCCACTGCTGGTATGAAAGCGATGACAGAACATGCAGTCTGTCGCCTGTGCAATCTGGCGTCTCACAAGACCTTGGAGGAACTGATCCAGACTACCAGAAAGCAAGAGAACAAAACATGATGACGTCCCTAAAAGAGGCTCAAATTTAAACTAGAGAGCAGAAGATGGATCATGTTCCAGACTGGAAGGGTCCTCCCACTAAGCGTGTCTGTAAATCTGCTCGTAGTTTGACTGTGAGCAGAAGTGGCACGAGCGTTCTGGAGGAAAGCAAGTATTTTATGTTTTCAGAATACAGTTAGAGTATTTCAAATAAATTCCCAAATTTGTATCCTTCCATTTCTTAACAGAGTAAGAGACTACTTATTGAAGAGTATTTCTAACTTCTATTTTCCTTTGTATTATAACCACTTAATTTTTGCAATTATTTTTGTTTAATCAATATGAAAGTCAGTCTAATATTAAAAACAATTTTGTTTTCCCTTTTGGGCTAAGAGAAGGTCAACATTATTTTAATAATATATCCCATGACAGGCAATAGCTTGAAAAATATCTGCTTGAAGGTAATTTTGATGACTGAATTTTGATTTCTGCAAAAAGGAGGGTGTGGGAGAGCAGAACAAAGCTAAAACTTTTTCCTGTGTCAAGGCACAACTTAAATGACTGCCTCTATTATTAAGTCATTTGAAGAGGCAAAAGCTTTTATTTAAAGACTGGTATTTGGTTATTTTTACATTTTAAAAATACATGAAATGATCATTTAAGTTAATGAAGGTGTAACCTAGTTTTGTAAATCTTAACATTTTTTCTTTAACTATACATTGCTTCCCATTATGTTTGTACTTGAGCACTTAAAATATGCTAATTTCCCTACTTACTTATTTTTAAACTTCAGTCTTCTTCCTGAAACACTTATATGTTTTAATGGTTTTGTTAATGTATGCATGTAATGATCTTTTGCAAGAAGCTGAAGAGGTGAAACACTGAAGAACACTGCTTTACTTATAGAAAAGAGCCAAGGTAAGAACGCCTGGTAGGCCATTCACAGCTGTCCTAAGAAGAAGGCAAGTTGTTGACAGTAGTATTTTTGCAGCATGCGAAATGAAGTGGCAATGACAAAACCAGTAACTTTGATATCATGTTTCATGCAAGGTCATTCTACTTGTTTTTATTCTGAATGGAACAAAATGCACGAAAAACAATTTTGCAAGCAAAGCACTCAGCGATTATGAATGTGTAATCAATCGCATTTTATATAGCTACTGAATCTGAAGTGACAACAACAGTAAGACTGAGTAGATTCTGAAAATGCAGGTGGCATTTGGAATTTGAGAGTTTTGTCCACTTTTTTACATAAGGAAGACCCTTGATACAACCCACGGTATGGGTGGGAAGTGGTGACAAGGGTTAACACTAACCGTACACTTTTCCTTAATTCCTTTTTCGTGGATCAAACCCATACCCAAGACATCTGTGGAATACACAGTTATGACAACCGTTGCAGTAATTGCAGACTGTTAAATAAAAACCAGAAAAGCATATGGCACTACACACAGAAATAAATATAAATGTAACCTTGCAGAATAACAACTCAGATTCTTCTCAGTATTGCAACTGAAATTTTGTTATAATTGGTAATCACTTAAAATTCAAGCAAAGGAGGTTTGTTGTTTTTCTCTTTTTAAAGAATAATTGGCATTTACATGGCATCACATAATGCTTCGCACCTTCCAATATGGAAGCCTGTTTTTTAAAAAAGTTATAGCCTTAGAGATTATTTTAGAAGAGGGTAAATACAAATTCCATTTAATAAAACCATTTCAGCTTTCTGCAATGGTAGTAATTATACACCATAACTATTTACTGACTGCACCAACACTAGAGATGCTCCCCACGTCGCTTAAACCTCACATAACCAATTAGTACTTTAGGCGCAGGGGACAGACACCAGAGACCTGTTTTCAGTATAAAATATATTAGAAGTCCTGACCAAACAATCTAATGTTTCCCCTAAATGCCATATATCTGGTCCCCCAAACTTGTAAAACCTAGGCAAAGACTCTGACTCCCCTTTTGAGAGCTAGTTAATTCAGTAGGAAAATTCCCAACCGAGCAAGAGTATGAATAAGACAGCTGTGTCACTTGTGCCCTTTCTTTTTGCAAAGATGATTATATGGATTTTAAAAGCTTCTTCAGAAAAATCAGTAGTTATGAATGACTATGCTTGGGTGAATAAGAAGCTACTTTTTATTAAAAAAGACAGTGGTAGCTCATCATCTTTTCTTTTCCCAATGGTGTTACATAAAAACAGCTTTCTAAAATAAACCTGCCACCATTAGACATGAAGCTATTCATTCGAAAATGTTTTTATTCATTAATGCTTGAAGTTGCCTTTATTTTTTGTCACTCTGAGAAGGGCAATCATTTTTATTACAAACTTCTTTATTAGTACAGATGGAGTGGGAACATCCTCAATACGCAAGTTGCCCAACAGTTCTTATCAGAGGATGTTTTCAGTTGCTTATATAAAGTGTCGACTTCTAAAAGACAGACTGAAGTTTTCTACTCCAAATTTCTGCTTTAACGATTTCAGCCAGAACACTCCATTGCTTCTGAAGAGGCCAGGGAAGGCAACACGCTGCTTCAGCCATACTAAGAAAAATGGTGGGCATCTTGTCAAAGAGCTCTAGCACCATCTTGCTTTGAAGTAAGGATCTGAAATTCAGCAGGCCCCCGTCTGTGAAAAACAGGTCAACTCTGCCCAAGTTACAAACCTTTGAAAAATGAAGTTTGCAGCCTGACGGCAGCCACTACCAGAGGCTAAATCAGGTTCAGCCGTCAGACTCATCTTCGGGTCATGCTGCGCTCTGTCTTGCATATGCATGGAGTCTACACTCCTCAGGTTATTTTACACTCCTCAGGTTATTTGCTCATTTAAGAAAGGCTGTAAGTTTATCAAAGTTAAAAACTACTGTTTGGATCAACAGCATGATACCTCGCTTGACAAACTATTGTTTAATTTGTGTGCCTAAACAGCACAGAACAGGAACACATCTGAATGAATTAATGTTTACATATTTTAAACGGTTGGAAAAGACTGCAGACTTTTTGATTCCTATGTAAATAATAGCGTAATAGCAAGTAACAAAAATATTACTTGAAAGGCTGTAAAATATTTGTGTATTTTGGTGCAAAAGAAAAATGGTATGCTGGAAAAAAAACTAGTTAATGGGCAAAAGCAACTTAAGGTAAAAAAAGGTACTAATGCTGCCAAGAGGTACTGCACTGAAGCCCATGGCACTCATTTGCATTCCTCTACACACAAAGTCAGTCAGATATCCTTTGCCCAAGAGACAAGACCAGCTTCAGTATGGATGAGTACTGACCTGCTGCAAGCTACTGTTCTTTACATTCACAAGTGCTCAAACTAACAGATAGTTCCTCCAAGTGACTATTTTATTAATATCAGAAATATTTTTATTAATTTTCCCTGCAGCTTTCTAATTCACAGTAACACGGATCTGAAATTACATTTACGTGCTGGTTTTGGCTGGGATGGAGTTCGTTTTCTTCACAGTAGCTGGTATGGGGCTGTGTTTTGGATTTGTGCTGGGAGAGTTGATAACCCAGGGATGTTTTCATTATTGCTGAGCAGGGCTTACACAGAGTCAAGGCCTTTTCTGC